AACACCCTTCCAAGGTTTTAACGCCAAACTCTCGGCAAGAAAAGCTTGTGGTATCGCTGAGCCAATCAACTCACGTCGGGATTGATTAGAAAAAAACATCTATTCGTCAATGCTAGACGGCTAATCGTGGACCAGATAGCAATCGTAAGGGAAAAAAGACGTAACATACTACCTATATAACCTAATCACATGCTTTTGACAACATAAGGTTTTCCATGCTAATTGCGTTTCCCAACTAAACTGTCCATGTCAGATTTCCGAATTGTCTGCATAGGGAAAGGAGAAAAATTACTTTGATTTTAACTGACCACCAATCACTACACTTCATCTAATGAAAATGAAACTCCAGTCTAGTGTTTCCCGAGTGTCTGGATGACTGCGGAGAATTGTGTGTGCATACGCGTTCTAAAAGATGATCAGTCGAAATCAATAAAAATTGGTTCCACAGCAGCACCGCTCGGAAGTGCCTATGGCTTAGTGTACTTTTGCACTCAAACAAATTTGAGAACAATCTGAGGACCGTATGACCGTGAATTTATCCGCACAGGGTAGCGCTAACAGTTGGAGGCTGTTTTAATAACGAACGCGAACGACGATGACGACAAAAACAAGAACAACTCACCTCGATCATAGCTGTGGACAATTTGGTGCAGATCGTGCATAACAAACGTCCGCAAATCAAACAGAGCGCGTTCTCTTGGAATCGATGCTGAACCGCATCACAACCGACCACATGCAGTGCGTTGAACAACACATCAAAAGAATACGGGGTACGTATCAACCGGGGCGGATAAAGTTGCCGACCGATTTCGATCACAGCCTATTTGTATCGGAGAGGTGGGTGAAAAGAAAAAGGACCAATAAGGGAGAATATCACGCGCCAAAATTGTTAACCGTTCAAGTTGCGACTTGAATTTAATTCCGCAGATCCTTGAATTTTATACAAACTCTAGATGGACCTAAGAGACAGTTCAACTCGTCGATCTTTTGATAGACCGTCTCATTTTATTTATACAGTGCCCGCTTATCGGTATTTATTTTCCCGTACTATGAGGAAGGAAGAGTAAACAGTTCTACGCAATCAGGAATTATCTTAAATACAATTGCATCATGATATCTAATCGGTTCGTACTAGATAGCGATAAATAATTGATGTTCCATGGGATGTATAGCTTAGTAAGAAAGCTTGCCGAAACATATTCCCTGGTAAAGATTTCCATAAAGAATTAAAGAGGCAAAGCGAATTCCATAAATCCATCAGTGGCTCTAGAATCGCTATTGAGATCGCAGTTGTCTAAATTATCTAGCGAAGGTTGCTGAAACAAGTGATAGTTTAAGAAAAATTCGATTTAACGCTAAACTCGGATACCACTGTTTCATCAATTCCTTCAACATACATCATCATCATCATTCAATATACAACGCGAGACAGTACTCACTGGAAGTCGGTCAATCCACATCGGATCGATGGTTCGGTTATCGTTAGTTTTTCCAGATGACCGGGGAACAATCTGCTTATTCTGGTTGTCAGCCACATCATCCGGTTGCAGTTGTTTGAGCCATCGACTGCTGAGTAATTGAATGCCATCCATGGAATCGGAAGAAAGATTCGTGGCTGAACAAAGCCCGCTGCGTGTGGCCGCGAGCTGGGCGACTTGAGACACATTAGTCAGCGTGGTATCGCCACAGTCAAGAGATAATATACGACACAGATCACTGAACTCCAACAATCGTTGCTGATGACAAATGAAGGAAATCAAAGTGCAATCAACTCGACGATGCGGGAGGACTACTGATAATACAATAACTGCTTTGCATGACAATTAGTTAATACGCATTGTAACGCAGTGAACAACCATTATCTGACGGTAAGAGAAGTAAGACCATTAAGTTCTAATATGAGGGAGGATAGCAAGTACAGGAGGATAAGAAATCTTCACACAACTTACTAGTTGGTGATTAATATTGACATGATTTCTAATAAAGATAACATTATGGTACTACGGGGTCAAATCAAGAACGCAAGAAAATTTTCCAAAAGTGATCAAGAGAACTGACTGGAGAAATCCGTGCAAAAATGGTTTTATTTATGATGACACTGCAATATGGACACTCACTCCCTACTGTGTAACTGATGAACAGCTTGTTTGATTCCTGTTAAATCGGCAGTCACGCACACACAAACACATGTATATTTGTCTGATTCATGCGGGTAGCAACAAGATCACCTAATAACTCATCGCCCCCCGTTACATCTTTCATCCTCATCGTAGCTCCCTGCACGCCTTGCGATACGCCTACTCGGGAGTGAAGTCGAGAAAACTGGATTTTATGCAATGCAAGAAAATTCTTCGGCTGACTTTCCCAACACGAATGAAAGTGACTGTCTGTACCAATTCGTTCTTGACAAAGCACCCGAAGTACCTGATGAAAATCGCTGAGGCTGGAAGCAATGCAACGGACAACTAACAGTTCAGCTTGGCTGAAACCAACTGGGTGAATTCAACAGGACACTGCAAACGTGAATCGGCAATCAGCCTTATGAACACCTTTTCATTCTTCTGATTGTTTTCATTGAACACATGATGGCAGAAACAATTTTCAGGATGAAGGAGGCGACCAATCAAAGGGTTGTCATGTGGTCGAACACTACCTGTTAACTTGCGATGGAAGAAGCTCAGACGATAGAGTTTCAGTTTTTACAACCATTAACCATGCACTTTCGTGCGCCGGTTTTGGTTGCCCATTTGGACAAAAGAGCGAAATGAAGATTGGAATGTCGAAGAAAATTCAAGTGGAAGATGGGGAATACGTACAGAGTAGTGTTGGGAAAATAAGGAGTGGATGCACGAGCGCCACTGTTTGCGACACCCAGCCATATCACTCAGATCAGACGATAGATCCACCGTTACGCAAATGTTTATGCTCATCCTAGGACAAGATCCATACCCAAAGCAGGCAGAATTAAGGATAATACACTCTCTCACACGCGAGACAGTCACATCCGAACATCAGGCTGCTCTTTTTGTCAGAAGATACGGTCGCTGATTACTGGACGCAGAAAATCGGTCGAATATTAAAATAATTGAACGGCATCAATTTACCAATGAAGTGTCGATACGAACGATAAAAAGGGCAATTGCAACTACATAAAGAATGTGCCAAAAGTGTTGACCATAATTTCGTATGTAAGGGCGCGAAACGGGAATGAATAAATGGGGAGTGGTGTTGGCGTACCTCATCCGTGATGCTCGGATAGACAACACGAGCACTGTCTGCATTCGCATAGTTAAATGACGTGGGAGATTGCGCAGGTCGATCGTTCACGACCGTTGCGTTTGCGACCAGATGTCCAACAAACGGTAGTCCCATTGGTGTCAATCCTCCACCGGAGGTCGTGGTGGTACTCGACCCCGGCACAGGGGAGGTTTGATTCTGATCTCGATTGGCCTGCCAACGTGCACGACATAGACCGGCCAGACGAAGAAGCGGAAGCACACGCAAGACAATGTGCATTTCCAACAAAGACTGATCGTATCCAAAAGTGTGCGATCGAGCGCTGGTTGTGTTGTCCGTAGTCAGCTGAACCTCGGGTAAGCGGGCGGCATCCCGTAACAATCGATATGATCGTTGTTGTTCGGATTCTGGAGATGTGTCATATGTGTCTGAAATAGTGTCCCCGGTTAGGGAAGGCTCGAGGGCCTGGATATATGGTATCAGATGCTGAATGTGACCGGCTAGCGGCCCGGACAACTGAAGTATACCAAACGGGTGAATAGGGATGAGCACATTAAATGCGATTTAATAGCTGAGACAAGTAGGGGATGTCAGGATCCACTGTATACAAATTGCAAACAAATAGTGTCAATAATAAATAAACTAGGTGGTATAGTATACAGTATGGACAAATAAGAGTTTTTATATCCGTAAACAAACAACACGAGTGCATAATGGCCTCCTGAGGCACGTAGAAAGGACCGAGTTTCCCAATGACGTGTCCGTTATTTTCCATCCACGGAAAGACAGATTCCACGCATATCAAAGGTGCTTGAATAGAATCCAAAGTGCTGATAGGTTGGTTCAACATGAGAGAATACGGGACACGTAACAAAATTGAGGACGGAAGAGGTGGAGGATTGATGCATCTCACTATTCGGGACGATCCAAAGCATCAGCGAACTGCCCGACGTGACTTGTGCCTAATTTTGCGAGCACATGGTGAACGTAAATTGGGCAAACCCTAACACAGAAGACAACAGAGAGCATAGTTCACATGATACCAACTCAATACAACTGGGAATGTGAAGCTATTCAAATAAGTGTGTTTGGTCGAGTGAAAGAGTTTGTGTAATGGCTAATCAAGTGCACTGGACAAGATCAGAGTTAGCGATATGCAAAACCGAAGGTGATCATAGGTCCATTGCTTACTTTGGGAACAAGAGCTGTGGCAATTCGGCTCGGCGAATTGGAACCACCTTGAACCACAGTGTAGTTGGGACCATTTAGAATAGCGCTAAGCAAAGCGCGAACGTAGGCCAAACAGAAGGTTGCCGACACAAGGGTTAGGAATAAATCTGTGCACAGAGGACAAAATAGATAGCTAGTTAATGCGACAGCAAATGGTTAGTATGAATGATGACAGTCATTTGGAATCCAGATGCAAAACACAGTTGGTCAAATTGCAAGGATGAACCAGGTGGCAGGGAGACAGCCTTTTAGCCGCTCAAAGCAACGATAAACTTATCCCATTAGGGTCCCAAGACGCTCGTCGCTCCGAAACCCCGATGTTGGTGATTCAGTCGTTTTTTCATCGGTCTACTCTAGTCTCAAAGGCAGGTACATGAATCCTGCGATCACAAATAAAATTTAGTGACAGCCAGCTTTGATATCGTTCAACTCAATAAGAGGCCCACCTTACCGGTCTGTCGGTTAAAAATCCAGGCCTTACGCTAAGGATTCCTATGGTTAAACAAGGTGTTTTCATTACAATGGTGCTCATCCCTATTACAGTTCGCAAAATTAGGCTTGTGAAGTATTTTTCGATGTTTAAGCAAGTCATTCATAGGTGATGGAAAATCGAAGGGACGAAAACCTACTGGTACAACAAATAAGCAGTAAATTGACAATGCATAATGATGATCATAGCGGTGGGACTTTAAATAATCCCAGTAAAAAGGAGTGATACTGCTCGGTAATATATTACTATTATACTGAGGTTGAGGCGTGAAGGTCTCTAACACTAAACAGCTACCCTGAGAACGATTTTTCAAAGGGACCGATAGCGCTGACTACATCACTTGCGCAATTTGGCAAACAGCATAACCAATTCCTGGTTCACAGTCGTAAAATGAGTACATAAATTCAAAGCACAGCCAAACGAAGCGGTTGATATGCTAGCCCCAATGCAACCATCATTTTAGATAAAAACGTGGGCTTGATGAAATTGTTCAGAGGATCGTTGTTCCTGAGATAATAAAGTTCACAAGCTGAGTTAACTGAGCTGAAGAAGTAGGAGGGCGATGGCATTTTACAATAACTTCGGCAAAATTAATTTCTGCGACACTAGGTACATGTTTTGGAGAAGAAACTCGCGACATAAGTTATCTACGGTTCAAATTACAAAGTTTGCTCATGTGTGAGCAATAAACTTACTTAATGCATGTGTTCCACAATCAAGAGATGGTAAAACGTCTAACGGAACGGATAACACATGCTTACCCTCACGTGGCCACACATGCGGTACCAAACTGAGAAGAACGTCTCCGGGGTCTTGGCACAGGGCGAGAACAGGTCTGCATAGAGTAGCGGCATGGAATAGGGAGAAAAATTGTGCAAAAAATTAAAGCAGATTGTTAGCCAGAGGAAGTGGAAGGTGACATTTTTTTAAAGTTTATTTGATAATCCAGTAGATGTTGTGTAAAATAATTACTTTAAAATTCTGCCATGATCAGTTAGACTTCATAAAAATGTTGGGAAGCAAAATTAGAAACCGATTAGGAGGTGATATTTTTAAACAATAAGTGGTTGACTATGAATAACGAATGGATATATCACAAAGGTGACGTGAAGGAACGGGAACACCTGATGATTCAGACAGTTCGGTCCTTGGATCGTGTGGGTTGCATAGACAATAAATAAACAAGTAAATAAGAATAGTAAATAATAAATAG